GTTTTCCCATTCCCAGCATTTACCCTCCTGCATGTAGCCCTGGGGGAACTGGAGGATTGTACACAGAGGGAGAAGTTATTTTTCCTTGACATAAACATCCAAGCCTTTCCTCAGCCCCTTTGCTTGAAACGTGGAGGTAGGACCTGGACTCATAACATCCGGCAGGAGGGGCTGGCCTTATCTGCCAGGAAACACTCAGCTCCGGATACATCCTCCCATGCTCCCAGCACCCCAAGCAGCTCCCATTGGCAGTGCCGGGCAGGAAACCACTCAGCAGCTTGTCTCATTCCCTCCTCTGGAGAGACGGGAGGGAGGGCCTGATCCTGTCCCCCCCACAGCAGCAGCCCTGGCTCTCCGTTGGGTGCGGTGGAGTTCGGAGTCAGGACAAGAAGAGATGAAGGGGGAAGCTGTTTACTTGTGAGGAGAAAGGGGTTGACAAAGTTGAGGGCAAAAGGGGATTTTGAGGTTTGGGGTTGCTTCTAGGCTCTGCCACTGATTTGCAGGGTGGCCTCGGTCAAGTCTTCTCACCCCCTTCTCTGCCTCTATTTCCCTCTTCTCTTTCTGCTTTCAGCGCGATAGAAGGGAAAAAAAAATCCCAGCTAATTTGGTAGCAGCATCCAGAGCCCTCACATGGGGTAACTAATCCTTCAGGATGAGGGTGGTGAGGCCCTGGCCCAGGTTGCCCAGAGAAGCTGTGGGTGCCCCCTCCCTGGCAGTGCCCAAGGCCAGGCTGGATGGGGCTTGGAGCAGCCTGGGCTGGTGGAGGTGTCCCTGCCCATGGAGGTTGGTCTGGGGAGGCTTTGAGGTCCCTTCCAACCCAAATCATTCTGTGAGTCTATGCTAGAGACTCCCTGTGCTAAGGGCAGCACAAGCACTTGGTCCTGTTCAAACTCTTGATAAGAGACAGTTCATGACCCGAAGCTGGACAGAAACAAGACATGAGGGAAGGCAGTATTATCTCTGTTTTACAAATAGGGAAACTGAGGCATGGAGCTGTTATGAGGCTGTTTGTCATCAGGGTCTACTCCTTTCTGGTGGCACCAGGGCAAGCAAAAGTGGAGAGGAGCCACCACCTGCTCAACGTATGTAAGGGAAATCACCCATCCTGGGAGGACCATGGCATGACACACCACAGCTCCTGGCTCTATCTCCAAATCCCAGCACTATCCGGGAGGGTGACCTCATCTCTGAAGGTGACCTCATCCCTGCTCCCAGCACCGTGACCCACACAGCCACGGTGACCAAGGGCCTGCTGGGGCCACCGGGAGCAGAGGACTCACAGCCTGACCACCTCCTGGCAAGGAGAGACCCTTGCCCAACCTGACACCCCTGAGTGAGAGCCTGAATGTGGCATGAGGTCATTTTATCCCTTCCTGCAGACCTGATTTGATTTTCCTGCTGGTTCCCAGCCTGGAGAAAGCAACCCACAAACCACAAGACTCCTCAGCGGGCACAGATACAGCCTTGGGCTTATGGGTTTGGGATGGGGAGGGAGGAGAAAGATGCTTGGGTTCGATGCAGAAAAAATCCTGGTTGTGGTGGAGACCCCTCAACATCCATAAACCACCATGGCCATCAGTTCTCTATGGTGACATCCACTTTCCAAGCACAAAAGACTCCTTCCCACCTCTGTCCACCACTTATTTTCTGTCCAGCCTCTGCAGCAATGCCCTGCACCCCAAAATCATGCTGTGAGGTAAGAGACAACCCTGTAGTGTTGCATTTTCTTCTAGAGAAGGGGCAGATGGCTCTGCTCCTGAATTTCTTCTCAGCTGCTGGTGTCCTGGGAGGTGGAAGCCGGCTGCTCCCAGCACTGGGCGTGTGCCCAGATCCGTCCGGCGAGCCCCAGCTCCCAGGGAGCCCCACCTCACCTTGGCTGTGGCTCCCAATGCCCTCGGGGGGCCCTGGCTCCCGGTTGGGGCCTGTAGCAGTTCTTGACGTGCGGAGAGTGTGGGGACACGCTCCCACTGCTCCTCACGTGGCTCTGGGTTGTGCAAGTGGGGACAGGCTTGGCTGCCGGGAGTCTCTGTGCATCCCAACCTGGCGAGCTGCTCCAGGTTGGGATGCACGGAGAAACCCCTTGTCCTGGGGAAATCCAACTCCAGACATAGCCACACATGTGGCTGGGAGCTCTCGGTGTGGGATTTGCCTCCAACAACCCCAAATGTGACTCTGAATGCAAGAAGGGAAGCAGGGAAGAGGCTTATGGGGTGTTTCTGGTGGTGATACCCCGAGCTGATCTTTTTGGGGGGCTGGGATGGCTGATCTCTCTGCCTCCTCACCAAGTCAGTTTTAAAACTCATTACGCTGTTCTCAGCTGCAGAAGACCTGGCAGAAAGGGACATTTCTGGCCCTGGCACACCACACAGATTGTGGGCAGAGCAGGAGGTGGGAGGAGTAGGACTTCTGCAGCCCTGCTCCTGCTCCTGGCATGGTTCCATGTGAGTCAACGCCACTGGGCAGAGAGGCCAAACAGGCTCACGGCATCTCCCTCCCTCCAGCCTTGTCAGACTGAGTCACAAATCCTCTTGGAAGAACAACGCTGCCCCAGCTGGGTTGCTGTGCAGGTCATTTCAGTACCATACTGAGCATCATGTCCTTGTGTTGTGCCACCACAGTCCATGGTGCCAGCAGAACGCCCAAAAGTATCTGTATCGTTCCCTCCAAAAGGGAAATCAGCTGCACATGGCCAAGGGTGAGTTTGGATGCCTGAGCAATGGGCAAAGAGGCAGCACGTGTGATAGGAGAGCTGCCTCCAGGGAGGGCACAAGTCGGGATGAAGGAGGACCATAAGCAAAGGACAGGGGAATACTGGTGCCTCCCCAAACACTCACACAGCCTCCCACCTTCTGGGACCATGGGCTCCCTGAGTCAGAGATAAATCACCTATGGGAAGCAAGCCAGCCCAGTTGGGTTGGGTTGAGTTGGGTTGGGTTGGGTTGAGTGACCTCTGGAGAACCCTTCCAGCCAACACACATAGGTGGGCATCACAAAATGCATTAGGAAACTTGCTCCTCCACTTTTTCGGGCCAAGCAGGGGGACACAGCCTGGGAGGATGCTGCTTTGGGAGGTGTGCATGGATTAACCTCAAGGACCACAGCTTAATTTAATGTCTGGCAAGGGCAGGCTGTGATGTTGGCCCACAGACACAAGAAGGACTCAGCTTTCCTCTTTGCCAGCAATACCTGAAGGCCATCACTCAACATTCACCTACAAGAGTGCCCTTGACACAGCTCCCCAGATTTGACCCACGCTCCATGTCTCAGGCTTCAGTGCCTTGATCTGCATCTGTACCAAGGACCCTCACACTGTGGAGCATCTTAACAGGTTCATCAGCACAAACTGTGAAAGACAGCTTTAAATGCGAATAAAAACCACGCTGCAGGCATTGGCACTTGCTCCGTAAATAGGCAACATCCTTCATGCTCACTGAAAGCAAAACTTTGCCTTAAACTCACTGTAATATCTACGTAGGACATTAAAAAGTTGTATTCATGAGACAGCAAAAATAGAATCAAAGCCATCACCGTGACTTGTTGACCCTGAGACCCACCATGAAAAGTGAAGTCATGCCCACATCATGCCTTAGGTTGGTTTGTCAGAAAGCAATCCACAACTTACATAAAGATAACCACAGATCTTTTTTATTTAAAAAAAAAAAAATGGAAGTAGAAAAGTTTGGCTGAAAATACCAACAACAAAAAAATTTTAAAAATAGCACTCGCACAGGAAATGTTTCTGTTTTGAACACTTTGTCAATAGCTACAGCAATTTAAATCATAAAACAATCATCGTATAAAAACATATTTATTTAAATTAAATATTTTATGCTAACTCGTATCTACACTCATTCAAAATGCATAGAGTCACACACAAAAAAAAGATGGAATGTATTAGCTTAAAAACCTGTGAAGTTGTGGGGGCTTTTTAAGTATTATTTGCAATTATTATTAATACATGTTCGGGACTGAAACCAGAAAATCATAGCCATGCTACTAACTAATCATTACCAAGTGTCATACAGTAAACACTAAGATTAATCATGTCATATAACTGATTTAAAATAAAGCTTCATCTTTATGAAAAGGAAGAGAAGTCGAGCAATACAAAATCCGAGGGGAGGAATAATGGAAGGAATAAATCAATGTACAGCTTTATTACAAGCAATAATACGCTGGAGTTAGAAGAGGCATTGGGCACTGCGGCTTGAAACGTGAAGCGTTTGCCTTCAAAGGACGTTTGATAAAAAATAAAAACCAAAAACGTGTCTGCTACATCATCACCTCTTGGACAAAATGCTCGTCCCAGGACCCGTTCCCAGCCCAGCTTTTGCTGGGAGGCCGAGGGGAAGGCATGGAGGTGGATGTTGGCCAGATCCTGCCTCACCAAGCCCTGGTCTTGACTCCCCCAAAATGCCCAGGCTGAGCATCCTCAGGGCTGGCTGCCCCCCTGCAGCCTCCTCCCCACACATCCCTGGTGTCCTGTTGAAGCCCCCAACTCATGATCAGGGGGATGAGGCAAGTTTAACCTCCCTGGTGCGACCAGGCAGGTCAAGGTGTCCACGACAATGCCGATACCAAAACCTTTACCAAAATCTTCCCTTTCCCCCCCATCCCTGCCTTTTCCCCTTCCAGGGGGTTTTGCCCCTGCCAGGACCTCAGACCTGCCATTTGGGGGATGCTCTGCCCTCCCAACTCCGAAGCAGAGCTGGGGGTGCCCCAAAATTGGGGGCAGCCTTCCCATGCTCCCAAGAGCATCTCTGTTTTGGAAGAGGGACCTGGCCAAAGGGCTTTGGCATGAAGAACCACCCCTCCCGGCCCCGTTTGGAGCAGGGCACCGGTGCTGAGCCGATGACCAAAATCCTTTACCTATGCCACTGAGGAGACTCCATGGCCCTCGCGGTTCGGATTCGGTCACCCTGAGGGGCGGCAAGCGACGTCCCTGGGGACCAACGCCTTGTAATACTGTTGGGTCCTTCCAGGCGGCCCCGGCCCAGGGTCTAGGAGACGCTGTAGTTGTTGTAGTAGGTGGCTGTGGCGTCGGCAAGGACGGAGATCAGGCTGGTCTCGGAGCCGTGGGAGCCACCAGCCGCCGGGACGTGTCCATTGACCAAAACCCCACCGTGGTGGTCGCCGTGGCTGGGGTTGTTGAGATATTGGTCGAATTCGTTGCGGTCCATCTCCCCCAGGAGCTCGGCCTGGCTCAGTTGGTCCAAGGTCTCAAAGCCGTGGTGGTCGGGTGGCGGGGAGAGCTGACCCAGGTGGGCATGGAGGCTGGGGGTGTGCAGGGAGGGGAAGGCGGGTGTGTAGTAGCTGGGAGGAGGAGGAAGGGGAGGGCAGCTGGAGGCCGGGGGGATCATGCAGGGGGTGGGGCTGAGGGGGTGGTGGTTGCACGGCTCCGGGGAGTAGGTGGCTCCGGCAAGGTGGGAGCAGTGATGGTCCTCAGGGCAGGGCGAGGAGAAGAAGCTCTGCTCTGGGTCTATGGCGTCCAGTGGAGACATCTCCGGAGGGGTGGGCAGCCCATAGGGGTAGGTGTCCACACTCGTGCTGCTGCTGCTGCCCGGGG